ACATGTCATAATAATTTATTTGAAATTAACTTATTGACAGCGACGCATTTCCCCTTGAAACTTCGAAGGTACGCCACAAACAAAACCCAGTCGAGCCACCTTAAAGAATTTCGTTGAATTTAGATTTAAAGAAAATTCTAAGATTTAGCCGGTTTGTAAACCGAAAACCAATCATTTATAGAGCATCCTTGACCTGGGGGAGAGAATCGTGTCAAAAGATGTTTCATAGGGAGGGGAGGGGGGAACACAAAACACTAGTGCTCAGTGTTCGGGGGAACACATAACTCGGGGGAACACAAATCCCTGTGACACCGCCGTGAAAACCATCAATAGTGTCACGAAGTAGAAGTGAGGGAGTAATACTTTCCCAACGGACACAAAGATTCGGGTCGTTCTTCAGTTGCTTCCTTCTGGTTTATTTTCTGTTGCTTGTAGTACTTTACAATGATCTCATCTGAACTCTGGTTATGGCTCTTGACTAGCTGCTACTTCGTTGTGCACTGTGCTATCAGCTCTCACTCACTCTCACTGAACTGAACTCTGAGTAAGCTCGTATTTAAGGACTAAGCTTACGCAATACCTCACAACCGGTTATACTAGGTCAAACTAGATTACACCAGTTAGGTCAAGTATGACGTAAGAGCTTGAGACAGGTGTTGACTTTAGGAAAAAGTACGAGCACTCAGTTCTAAGAGCTGACCCTGAAAATCTGTCGGTGGCGTTCGCTAACTTAACTAGTACAGAGCAGATTGCACTAAAGATATCCTAAAGTTATAAGAAAGATCATTCTGAAAAAGTGAACAGAAAAAGGCTTAGGAAGTAGTTGTTTGTACAGTAAACAACCCTGCTCTTTTCCAGTACGCATGTACAAAGTTGTACATGATCAAAACCCATTTTCACTGGAAACGTACAGTAGATTTGCAGCTGTTGTTTACTACAAAACGTACTTCCCAATTAGAAGTGTAAGGCCATGTCAATGAACAAACATCCTTGACCCTGGAGTTAATGAACAAGTTATTGTGAATGACTCGCCATTGGTCAATGACAAGTTGTCTATTGACATGTCATTAAAATAAAGAGATTTCCTTACATTCCTTATTTACAGAAGGTTTAGCAGATAATTTTCTATTTCTAGGATGTTTTTCCCTAACATTTTCCCTTGATTATATTTTTCCCTTCTACATATTATTCCCCCCTTCGAGAACACTCGCCATCGAATGTCACGAAGAGAAGATAAAACTACAATTAGAATCAGGTGTACACTGAGCAGTACTCGCTTAGCTTGACCAGGCTATATGACTGGACTCATACAGGTAGTCTGCATGCCAGGGGTCTACAATATGATAGAACAAGAATATTAAATATAGTGTTATTATCCCTAAATTACCCGCTAAACAACATAAGAAGGAAAATCTAAATGTTTTCGATGCAGCAGGATACAAGAGTACCCTTAGGGTGGAGTGATTCTAAAATGTTTGTAATCAAATACAAACGTTAACGTTAACGTGACTAAACTAAACCTACTACTAATTGATTAAAAGTTAATATTAAATATTTTAGATAAATATTAATATTAACGTATTTTAAGAGTATTAAGAAATYATGGTTCGTTACAATGGTTTAAGGAACAATACAACAATTTCTAATATACTAAAATAGCGATTAGGATATACGCCTATTTCAAAAAACGTTGTCGGTCGGAAATCTGAAATCTGAGACCGAAAGGAATTGTGGGTTGTAAGCTGTAAATTGTTTGTGGTTTTAATTAGTAGTTCGCAAAAAGTTAATATCTTGATATACTAACTTTGAGCGATGACCTGTGCTGGCAAACGATCTGGGTAAATGTATATTGAATTTTGAACGAGAAAACACTCAGTCCCCCACATTTCCAGTCGGTCTCAGATTTCTGATTTCAGATATCCAACCGACAACGTCTTTTGAAATAGGTGTATACATCTTCAGCAAACTCACAATTAACCTCTAGCGACTTTACTTGAATATGACCTTACAGTTCCGTTGCGTTTCATAAGAGTATGGTACTGCATGGGAGAAGTCCTAATACTTAATTATCGCATTATAAAGCTCCGCAGCAAAACGTTTGCAGTTTGCAAATAAAAAGTGATAGGGGAGATGTAATTTTGTAAAAGCAACGTAGTCCAGTATTCTTGTCATCGTTAAGTCCTTTTCTCGAACGTCATGAAAATGCATTTGCATTAATGGTTCGGGTCTGGGTGTACCATCAGTTCTGTGCCCTTCAACGTCTTCTAATCTTTTACTTCTTTGAAGTACGATTCCCTCTCCGTCTTTTTCGATCGCCCACCACCAGTTCTCTGTTTCCAGAACAACAAACTGATGGTTCAAATAAAACTGAGTAATTTGCCATTCCCATAGTTTGCATTTGTACAGCCTAATAGTGAGCACTTTTTCATTCGAGAATTCATGTGTTATCATATTATCATCCCTATCGATGGAATTTCCACTACCTGTCCAGGATGAACTTCTCGAGGTTGGGTAATTGGGTATGGATATACCATAATGTATATACCCTTGATCGTCTTCCAATCTTTTTCTTCTTTGAAATACAAATAAATAATAAATAAAAATAAATAAATAGACTTTATTTAACGAGGGTGACAAACATTACTGATGGCCCAGTAGTTTCCATTATGGCCCTCCTACGATTAATAAACTGAAATGAAAGATTAAATGAACATAAAGCGTGTTAAGAATCCCAACTGGCAAGGAGGCATACCAGTTGGCTATTAACAAGCATGGTCGAGAAACTGAATTTGAACTAATCAGGAATCAGGACAAATACAGTCTCAGGTAGTGGCCACATCGGGACTCGAACCCGGCACCACCGGATTGCGAGACCGAAGCTACGACCACTCGACCATGCTTCCTCCTTAAAATACGATTCCCTCTCCGTCTTTTTCGCTCGCCCACCTCCAGTTCTTTGTTTCCAGAACAATATACTGATGCTTCAGCTTTGGTTGCCATTCCCGATCCCGGAGTTTGCATTGGCTCAGCCTAATATTATCATCGTCCCAATCGAGGTATTGTATTTGACCTTTCCAGTCTAAGCCTTTCTTTGCCATCTGTCCCTGAAGAATGTAAAAATTAGGAACCACTTTTAGCCATTTTTTCTAAAAACAAACAAAAATTAAAGACGCAAAAGCTAAAATATTCATATATCTGCTGCTCATCACCTACCATGCCAAGGTTCGCCCCAAGAAGTATGTTTTTAGTCAAACTTTCATATTACCCGCACCACCCTTAGCCATTACTGCTGCGAGCGAAGCGAGGAGCAACACTAATTTTTGCGGGTATCCTGTTTATACACGAACGAGAGGTACTGGACACGTTAGGTAGAAAAAAATCTCATTTTACGTCATCAGTTCAGAAACATGCGCACCCAACACACTTGGGCAGCGGTCTGTTTTATTACATTATGCACAGATGACCACTGCGCAGCCTCATGGTCTTCCTTCGTTCGACCAGCGTGGAGTTTGAGGTAAACTTCCACAGTTCTACGAACAGTGCGGTTCTATATATTCGTGGAACTATTCATCAAGGTCATGAACAGTTCAGTTACATTATTGGGGGGAGGCAATGTTCATTTACGAGTTTTTCGGCACTTTCATGTGCGCAATTCTGTCCTATTCATGAATGGAGTTGTTCTACTATAGATAACATACTAATCGAAGGTGACAAGATGTATCTAAATGCTTTTGAAAGCCATGCAATCCCAGATCAAGAGCATATATCTCTAAACTATTTGCCTAATACTGTTTGTTCGCCTTTTGCTTTCGATAGCAGTACAGCATCTTCGAGCCAAACGTCTTTGAGGACAACAAATTGTTATACGTTTTGTTACTGTTCAGCGTGGTAGTATGGACTGTCAAATACAATAAAAAAATAAAAGATATTTCAAATGATCCAAAGATTGTTGTATTTTACTAATAAACACTTACTGAATATTAATGTGTACAAGTAAAAAGCAATCCAACGGCGGGCTCTATAGGTCTATTTTTTCAATGATTTTACGATATCAATATATTTAGCCCATGAAAAATAGAAAAATTAATAGCTGTGGGTTGTAAAACAACATAGTTTACTGTTTTCTCTCACGAGAAATTTCAATATCAATTGAAATTATGAACTATTAACTTGTTTTATTCCAACAGGGGCGGATACAGGATTTTTCAAGGGGGGGGGGCGGGGGAAAAATATTTCAATCAACCATAGGTCATTACACTTTATGTAAAAAAACGAAATTAGAAAGGCGCTAAAAAGATATAATAATAGTGCATTTATATAGCGCATATCCAAATAAATGCTCTATGCGCTATAATAATAACAATGATAATCAAAAACTAATGATAACTAAAAATGAAAATAGTTTTTAAACAGATGAATTTTAAGTTGCGACTTGAATTCAAGGACAGTTTGACAGGATCGTAAAGATAGAGGTAGAGAGTTCCAGAGTTCAGGTGCAGCAAAAGAGAAGGATCGTCCACCATAAGTTTTTAGATTGTAAATTGTATTTTTAAGAGAAGAGAGTTTGAATAACGGAGAAGTCTTGAAGGTTTGTAGGAAGTAATCATACTCTTTATGTAGAAGATAATATAGGTAAGTTGTAGTGCTTGGGAACGAGGTTATTCCGGGCGAAAGCCCTTGGAATTAAATTCGGAAAAATTAATTTCCGACC